TCTATAAGTTCCATTCTATCCACAAACCCACCCATACCCTGCTATGTCAGTGGATCCCTTATATACAGACAGCAACTGCAATGATCTATCCAAGAGGATCCCTAAGACACAGAAACTGATGACAGCAATCAAACCAAGAGGCAAAGACACTGACTGCACCTATTGGAGAAAGTGATGGGTAGTATGTTAATGTAAGAATACATTCAACAACCTGAAGAACAATATAGCACCACCAGAACCTAGTAATCCTACAACAGGAAGACCTGAACATTCCAACACAGAAGAAAATGACCTAAAACATAACTATGAAGATGATAGAGTGTTATGTGTGCTTTCCTGTCAGCCTGGTCCCAGAGCTGTGTCAGTCCCAAACTAACACACAGAGACTCTATTAGTGTTTCTTATGATCTTATCTTATCTTGAATGCCAGACTCACATGTCCTCTCCTCCTGAGATCACATCGAGACTCTCCTATGTTTCCCAGAATCCTCCACCTCTCCTAGTCCCACCTATCTTGCTTCCCTATTGGACAACAGTGCTTTATTCATTAACCAATAAGAGAAACATATTTCTAGAATAACATCTTCCATCAATAGAGACCCTTAAAAAGGAAATGAAAAATTCCCTTAAAGAAATCAAGGGAAAAACAAAATATTGTAAGAAATCAATGAATTTATTTTTAAAAGCCAAGAAAAACAATCAAACAGGTGAAAGATAGTCATCAGTATCATTATAGGGGAAGAGTATTTAAGGTAGCCTCTCCACTATTGCTTAGATAGTTAGTTGGGGTCATCCTTGTAGATTTCTGGATAATTCCCTAGTGCCAGATTTCTCTTTAAGTCTATAATTGCTCCCTCTTATAAGGTTTCTCTTTTCTTGCTCTCCTCTATTTTCCCTCAAATCAATCTTCCTGGTCCTTCATGTCTTCATCTCCCCTCCTCTTCTCCTAACTGCTTTTCCCCTCCTCCAGTGATCCCAATTTGCTCAGGATATCTTGTCTCTTTCCCCTTCTCTAGGGTACCATGCAAAAATAAATAAATAAATAAATAAATAAATAAATAAATAAATAAATAAACTACACTAAAAATGTACAATGATAATTTCTGTAATTTTAATTAAATCTTCAATTCTTTTATTTTTGTAGTTTCTTTTCTCTTAGAGCATTACTCGGTCATCTACCAAAAAAATTAAAAATAATAAAGCTGGGTTTTACAATCTGAAAAAAACAGATGAAAGAAACAATTCACAATCTGAAAATTGAAATAGAGGCAATAAAGGAAACACAAACCAAAGGAATTCTTGAAATGAAAAATATGGGAAAATGGATAGGACCTACATATGCAAGCATAATCAACAGAATGAAAGAGAGAATTTCAGGCATTGAAGATATAATAGAGGAAATTGTAACATGAAAAATAAATGACCCAGAGACTAATGTTGGGGTTCAAGCTGAAGAAGTGGGAAACAAAGCAGCTGACCACCAGATTCTTACATCTACCTCAGGCTGAATGGGGTGATCCTATCACAGGAGCTCTCACAAGCCTCAGACTGTAGCCTTTCTTCAGCATAGCTAGAGAAGTTTTTCTTGTTAGCTGTAGCCTTCTTTATTATTAGGCAAAAAGGAAGAATTGTAGTGATATATTATTTATGATTTATGAAAACTTGACTGAGGATTCAGAAAGGCAAAGTAGCCTCAAGCTATAGAGATCAGGCAGTGTGTGTGGTGATACACACCTTTAATGCCAGCTCCCAGAAGCAAGGAGGTAGTAGTACAACCTTTAATCCTAGGACTCAGGATTAAGAGGTATACAGATCTATGTGAGTTCAAGGTCACCCAGATCTACACAAGAGTGAGTCAGTCTAAAAGAGAATCACAGCTCACACCTTTAATCCCAACATTAGGGAAGTGTATATGACAGAAGTAAAGTCTCAGAGAGGCATTCATTCTCCAGCCACACTGAGGAGAGGTAGCAATTTGACACACTGTGAAGAATCTTGTGTTCAGATGTTTGAACTACATAGTCTTCATATTTTAACTAAGAAATTTGACCTGTTAACTGAAGACTGAGTTTCTGTCCAGTCTGGTCCTGCCACACTTCAGTACCTACTAAAAACACTGATGCCCATATAAATTATAAACTGTTTGGCCTATGGCTCAGGCTTCTTACAGGGTAGTTCTCTCTTAATTATTAAACCATGTCTATTAATCTAAATATTTCCATGTAGTTTTGGCTTACCAGGGAATGCCTGGATCTGTTACTTCTTCAGTGGCTACATGGCATCTCTCTCGCAGCTCCTCTCTGCCTCCCTCTTCTGATAACTCTTTTTGTATGGTAGCTCCTCCAATATCCCTGCCTAGCTACTGGACAATCAATGTTTTATTCATCAACTAATAAGAGAAACATACATTCACACCATATAGTAGGGCCACTACCACCATCTCCTCTTTTCTGTCTAAATCAAAAGAAAGGTTTTAACTTTAACATAGCAAAATTATATACAACAAAAGTTGTCAAGCAAGAATTAGAGTTATGATTTTTAGATCAATAACATTTTACAAAACTTAAAGAAAATATTTTATCATCTATCCTACCTTTTTAAGTCTAAAGTTTTAAAAGTAACATGCTATACATACATTTCTAATATTATTTGAGGTATTATATCTATACAGCTCATTTTACAATATTATACAAGTCTCTAGTCCTTGAAAGTTATTATTATCAACAATTGGGATAATAAGCCAGTATATTTTAGTACTTAGTCAACATTACAATCAAACTTACTGTCACATTCTGTGTACTGACAAGGTCAACCAGATATTATAGAAAGACAGAACATTTTCAAACACTTCAGAGATCTATAGAATATGTTATTTAACTTGTTTTAATAACATAGGTTCTTATTTATGACAAGGAGATATGTCTGCTCCTGGCAGTTTGAATCTACATGGGAGAAGATGATGGCCATGGAAGAAACTCCACATGGAGTTTACTTTGCCTAGTGGCAAAGGTAAGCCACTAGGCAAGAAATTGTCCTTGCCTCAACTGCTGACAGTATGCTTTCCTAATTGGACAAACAGGACACTGAAAAGAGTGACTACAAACCTCGCCAAGAAAAGGTGGTCCCGTCCTTCAGATTATCCTAGTTCATGAAAATGTCTGTCAGATATGCTAGGCCTATAGGCCAAAGATGGATGACCCAGCATTGCAGAGCAATCTTGGCTGACTGTCCAGGCAGTCAGCTGTTTCTGTCATTCCTCATAGTATTTGGAAGTCACATGCTCAAACTTTCTGTTTACTCAGTTAATATTATTGACTTCTCTGGTCACTGAGGGAGTTGAAGACTAGATAGTAGAGTTGTACTTTTCCTTGTTTAGAAGACATAATGCTAATGGACTAGATATTGTTTATGTAATTACTGCCTGTATATATTGGATAAACTAATTGTACTTACTGTGTATAGTTTTTCTTATATTAGTTATTAACTTTTTGTAAATTTTAGACCAAAAAAAAAAGGAAGGATATGTGGTGATATCTTGCTTGTACAAGTAAAGCACATCTGAGGTCAGCTAATGGAGCTTGCCACTAGCTAACAATACAGGAAATGATGTAACTGGTCAGAAACAGGATATAAGTAGGGAGAAACGGGAACTTGCTTGCTTGCCTCCTGAGACACGAAGGAGGTATAGTGTGGCTGTGGTTTTCTCCTTCTTTCTGATCTCTCAGCACTTTCCTCTATATCAGACTCTAGGTTTTTATTACTTTGACCAATTAAGAACTCCATTTATAATTAACATGCAAGCATCTTATTTACAATTAAATAAATCCTACTGTCACTTCATTAATTACATTTCTTGTTTGAGTATCTATTGTTCCTTTGTTCTTTTTATTGTTCATTTTTGTTAAGTTGATGCTTTTCTCATTGCTAAGTTAACTGATAAAAGCACAATTGAAAGAAATATTTGGGTGTATTTGTAAGGAATTTCCAGAAAGGATTACCTTCTCGTTCTCCGTATTGCGGGCAGTTCTGCCACATGTTCCAACCACATAAACCCCTATGGAGCTTGCTTGGAATAATAGATACTACCCCATCAAATCACAGGGTAAAGTACATCTATAATACTAAAATTTTGTTTTGGTGATGAGACGTTGGCTTTTATAATCAAAGACTTTTTCTAGATTATGCCTCTTAGAGTGCTTTGAAAACTGATATCTTCAGCAGATTCCAGGGCACACAAGAAGACACAGACTGCCTTGGAACACCCTAGCCAGTTATGGGCATCCCTGGGATGAGGGTTGTTGAAGACTAGCTGGGTAAGGATGCAGCGCTGACAAACAAACAAACAAACAAACAAAAACACACACACACACACACACACACACACAAAGGCAGTTTGAATCTGAGGGTATTTTGCAGTTTTCAAGCAAGGCTTTTTATCCAGAAAAAAGAATAGCTTCTCAGAGATTGTGTTCATTGTTGCAAATCAGATACAACAAATGACATCATGATTATTATGCAGGCTCAAGCCTCTCTGCTTCCCAAGGCTTCTGTCAATCAAGTAGTTAGGCATACTGTTAAGCTTATTTTAGAAATTATGTGTAAGTGAATATGTTAATTAACATTGTTACAAAAAATTCTTGAAAATGATACCCATAAAGTAATTATACACTGTGCAATTACTACATCTTGGGTTCTGTGTTGAGAAACAAATTTCAGACTAACTCCTCTCTAACCAGCGATCTTGAAACTTACTATTCAAATATCTTAGAAACAGAAAAGTTATGCAAACAGGTGATTTAATCCTAAATTTGCTTCATTACAAAACATGTGACATTAAACACTTGCCTGCAAATACGAAATAATTAATATTTGCTTTCACTATCTCTATTCAGTTCACAAGTTCAATGAGGTCATTTACTGTATTTGCTGTGACCAACTAAGGTTAAATTTTAACTCATGGCTTTTTTTTCTTCTTAGATATAATGATAAGCAATGACAGAAGAGAGCACACTGTGAACAGAGGACTTTGATTTTCCAAGATGCCTGCAAAATGGATGTCTACTGTGCTGCTTCTGCTACAGATGACTTGCTGCTTCAGATCTGGGAACTGTGGGAAGGTGTTGGTGTGGCCAATGGAATACAGTCACTGGTTGAATCTAAAGATAATACTGGATGAGCTTGCACAGAGGGGTCATGAAGTGACAGTTCTGAGACCTTCAGCTTCCATCTTTCTTGATCCCCAAAAGTCACCTGGCCTGAAGTTTGAGAGTTTTTCTACATCTATCAGTAAAGATGACCTGGATAAGGTTTATCATAGGTTTGCGGATGTATGGACTAATGAAATATCAAGAGATACATGTTTATCATACTCTCCTTTGCTACAAAATTTGTTTGATGCATATTCTGATAGCTATCTAAGTCTTTGTAAAGACACAGTTTCAAACAAACAACTGTTGACAAAACTACAGAAATCCAAGTTTGATGTGCTTATCTCGGATGCTATTTGTCCTTGTGGAGAGCTGATAGCTGAACTGCTGCAAATCCCTTTTCTGTACAGTCTTCGCTTCTCTCCTGGCTACATAATGGAAAAGTACAGCGCAGGACTTCCAGTCCCTCCCTCTTATGTACCTATAATTTTGTCAGGATTTGGGGGTCCAATGACATTCATGGAGAGGGTAAAAAATATGATATGTATGCTTTATTTTGACTTTTGGATACAGCTTTTTAATGAGAAGAAATGGGATCAGTTTTACAGTGAAACTTTGGGTAAGTTATGTTTCTTATCTGTAGTTCAGTCACCAAAATTCCATAAGTATTTAAGTCTATCCTTGTGTCCATGAAGTACAAAGTGAGAGTTCTCTTTTATAGGTGATTAAATGTAATATATATTAGCTACTAAACTCACAAACTCTATAAAAGCTCATATTACTCATCAAATAGAAGCAGGTAGTAGTTCTGATACAGGACATTCTGGTGAGGTATACATTGCAAAGAGATGCAAGAGACCTTTCCTAAGTGATTTTGTAATTATTTTACTATAGTTTTCATTTGTTTTAATAAATCACTAGCTCAGTAAACAAATTTTGATTGATGTAGATTAAAGGATCACATATTTTACAATCCATACATATATATATATATAAATATATATATATTATATTATATATATATATATATATATATAAAATCACTGAAGAAATTGTTTTCTCTTTGATAGGCCACTGTCTTTATTTAAGTTAAAAAGTGGTGTCTCGAAAAACCAAACAAATAAAAAGATAAATTAAAAAATATTTCCTGTGTATTTCCTAAGAATTCTCTTATGCTTGAAAGATACTATGTTGATTCACAGACTTCAAAATGGAACTGTGGTTGCTACTAACACCACATTCCTTTATTGTGTGCTCTCTTAGCATCTATTGTTTAAACACTACAGGGTCATGGGCACACATGTTCTCAGTCTGTAATTTTGAAGTCATGAAGGTTTTTATCTTAAAAAATATTCCATAGTTAAGACTGGCCAAAAATTCCTATTATCATAACTTCTGAAAATGTTGTGATGGTTTTCATAGGATGAGTGCTATTAAACTTCTTAATATGAAACAAAAATAGAAGCACTAACCAAAAATTCAACCATTCATAAACTTTACAGCTCCTTTGGCAAAACAAGGAAGAAAGATTAACTACAAATTACAATGACCCAGGGAAGTCTGACCAGGCTACACAGCAAGGTGTGATTGTGTGACTTTTAACCTGGAATGTATGTGTATATTGCACTGTTCCTTTAGTAGATTTTAAGAGGAGTAAAATGTGTGCTTATACATATAGTGGCTTAGTGGGTTATTTCAATAGATACTTATTATCTCAAATTAATGAGAAAACATGAGGTAATTCTGTTTACTTAATAAAAAACCCAAAGTGACATTTATTTATATTATGTGAGCCACAAATCAATTGCACATGCAAATTATGTTACATATCATTAAACATTGGTTTTTAGATGCACATGTTCTACATCAAACATAAATTCTTCCATCATTTAAGAAAATATATTTTATATTCAGATGATAATCCTGTTGACTTTTTAGTTTCTCATTTGCTCATTTTCTCCATCCAGGAAGGAGCACTACCTTAGCTGAGACAATGGGCAAAGCAGAAATGTGGCTCATTCGGTCCTACTGGGACTTGGAGTTTCCTCGCCCAACCTTACCAAATGTTGACTATATTGGAGGACTCCACTGTAAACCTGCTAAGCCCTTGCCCAAGGTAAATACATTTTATAATACCTTTTCCATTTAATTTAATTTCTGGTGACAGAGATTCTTCACCTTTCATTACATTTTGCTCCCAGTGGTAGAGATCTTTAGAAAGTGGGATTAAGTATCTTGCTAACAAGAAGATTAAGTATCTTGCTAACTTTCTAACTAGGAGATCAATAAACTCAGGAAAGAACGGGATAGACCTGGGGAATATTCATATCAGTGAGTTAAATTAAGTCAGTTATGTTACTTGGGTAAAGTCCTTTCCAAGCAACTATGAGGATGAAAGTTTGAATCCCAACACCCATGTAAACAATTGGGTGCCCTAGCACAGTGCTATGGCATTGGTATTGAGGACGCAGAAATGGGCTGATACCTGGAGCTTGCTGGTGATGAGATTTGTGTTAGGTGGGAGACAGTCTCAAAAAGTATGTTAAAGATTGATAGAGGAAAGCATCAATTTTTAACTTTTGGTATCCACGTACTAATACAAAGGCAGGGAACCTCCCCAGGACCCTCAGTAAACAGACACACACACACAAACACACACACACACATGCATACACAGGCACTTACAAGCACAAGCACACAACAAATAAGCAAATGCACATAAGCACACACACATGTTCACACACACATACACAAACACACACATGCACAAAAGAGAGAAATTAAGTCAGTTAAATTCATCTGAGGTAATTGTTTGATATCCAGAGAAATAACATAGATATAATTTATCTCCAACCTCTAAATTGTGGAGATCATATCTGATAATACCCTATTTATACACAATATCAGAAAATTAATATATAGTACATGTTTGCCAAGCAGTTATGATTATTTCACAAAAAACTAAGTTTGTGTTAACTACTACATATGTATATACTACAACATAGATATTTCATCAAACACTACTTAGTAATATTAAATCAGGTGGTATAGGAGAAAAATAGAATAGTAAAGGAAAAATAGGATGAAAACATGTAAATGAAGCTTCAATTTTATGAAAATTTCAATAATATACTTGTACTCCTGAGTTTTAATATTGCCAGAGGGAAATATTTAGAATGTTTTTTGCACAATTATTGAGTTCACTTTGTATTGATTCCTGTGAAGTTCCGATATTTGACATTGCCATATTTGTCTTCTGTATGTTTTAATATCGCTATTCTAAAAATTCCTAGGAACACTTTAATTTCTATTCTTCTAGCTTTTTCTACAATTGGTATTTGTAATGAAGCAAATTCTCTTCACAGGAAATGGAAGACTTTGTCCAGACCTCTGGAGAGCATGGTGTTGTGGTGTTTACTCTGGGGTCATTGGTCAGGAACATGTCAGAAGAAAAGGCCAATGCAATTGCATGGGCCCTTGCCCAGATTCCACAAAAGGTAAGGTAAACTGCTCCAAGGCAGATGACTGTATACTAAGACTGTGAAAGTCCTTTGAAAGGTCTGATTATAAAATAACTATCTGAAACATTAAGTTTTAAGTAAGCTCTAATTGGCCTTAGCCAATTTAGAAATATATTCACAACAGATGCTGCAATACTACAGAAGGTGGTTTTGACTGAGAGTGACTTAAATATAAACACTGTGATCACTGTATGCACATTCTGAAATGGTGGCATGATGATGACATTGCTATCAAGAGTCAATAGACATAGTCAAATTCTTCAGTGTCACTTATTCTATTTGTTAATTATTGAAAGTCATTGCATACATTAGAATTTTTTCAGGGAGTTATTTACTATTCTAGCAGAATAACAGTAAGCAGGAATTGAAAAGGCTTGAAATGTAGCATGACTCTGCATCCTAACTTTGGAGTAGGCCTGTTTAGTGTGCAATGAGAGGGCCATTTAAAGGAAGGGAGTCCAATGTTCGTCACTCTCAATCAAAGAACACTTTTGCTATTTGAGATGAAGATAATTAAAAAACTATGTTCTGGACTGCCTCGCCAATATTTGTAGAAGAAATATATAAAGGAAAGACACCGATGGGTGCTTACCTCCCAGTGATATCTGTGCAACATAAAAGGGTAATCACAGGGCTTGCTTAGAACCAGTCAAAGTGAAAGTCCTACCACTCAAGGAAGAAATACAGAAGAAGAAAGAATCCAAAGGAATCTAAACTTAAAAGAAATTGCAGGTGACTCATTTCATAAAATATACTATGAATTTAAGTGGACTGCTTGTGAACATTTTTAAGTTTTGTGATGGAACCGACTCTCTTTAATCTTCTCCATTAATTTTTTGAACTTGTAGTTAATTTTGTCAGTCATACAGCAAATCCATCTTAGCCATGTAGATAAGGGTCTGAGAATTTGTCTGAGAATTCTAATATTAGCATCTATCATAGGCCTGTATGTGGAACAATTTTACTGTTTCAGAACATTACGACCTCTACAGTAAAATCTTTGCAGTTAGTCATAAGGACTACATACCAATCAGTAGGACATAAAGAAGTATCATTAGATTTGGGAATGTTTTCAAAAACCACTTGTGAATAGAAAATTATTTACAATAGACTGCAAAGTGTCCTTGTATGGATTAATAGGCTCATTGATTCAGCTCCAGTCCAGGCCCTGAACAATAGTAATTTTATAACTCCCTTAAAAGCCTCATAACATGGAGGAGCTAGTACATTTGAACATCTGTTTGCTACATTTAATGGCTTTCTGAGCTAGAGAATTGGCTCAGTATGATAAACACTTTCTATGGTGCAATCAGCTCAGTTTGAATCCCCCAAACCCATATCAAGTCATGCAAGGTATTGTATGTGTCTTTAATGCCACTACTCCTATCAGAAACAGAAGGCAAATATAAAAGAATTCCTCCAGGCCAGCAGAAAAATAAAATCAAACAAAAAACAAGAGAGACATCAGAATAAATATCTATAGTTCTCACCATTCCACAGGTTCACCTTGGAATGCTTAAAAATTCAATCTCACGGGAATTGGCTCATATATACTCCAACACGTACAGAACACCCAAGGAAGGAGGAAGAGAATGAGCCCAAAGTATAGGAAGAAATTTTCAATCTCAGCAACAATTACAATAATGTGGGTTAATATTCAAACTTCTACATGCAATTTTTTGTGCCATTAGTTACTAGAGATTTGTATATCTGCATTAAGATTCTTAGACTCCTTAATCAAAAATTATTTCTTATGAAAAGACAATGATTGCATAGATTTGAATTCAAGTGAATAAAAAAACTGTGAACAAAATTTATGCAATCAAAAACAGATAAACCTAAGAATGAAGAGGGAAGTTGGGTACACAATCCCACCAAAAGCCATGGAGCTACTGACAATTATTAGCTTGTGAAAGGGGAAGAGGGTACCCCCTTGTAAGTTAGTCATTGTCTACTGCAAGGCCAAACATTCAAGAATATGATATATAGAATACATAAATTGGTCTTCAAGCATCCTTTTTTTAAGGACACCAAGTTGAGTGGAAAAGGAAGGGGTTGATTCAGGAAAGATTGGGGTAGGAAGTGTACATGAAAAAAGTACATTATTAAATGAAACTCCCAAAGATATGAAATAAAAGAAAGAAATGTCTACATATAAACATCCAGTTATGTCAGCACGATTTGTTGAAGATGCTTTCTTTTTTCCATTGTACAATTATGTCTTCCTTGTCAGAAATCGGGTGTTTGTAGGCATGTGGATTAATATCAAGGTCTTTAATTTTAGTCCATTGATCCACGTGTCTATTTTTATGCCAATACCAAGTTGTTTTTATTACGGTATCTCTATAGTAGAACTGGAAGTCATGGATGGTGGTACCCCAAGAAGTTCCTTTATTATAGAGGAATGATTTGGATATCCTGAGTTTTTGATTTTCCATATGAAATCGAGTATTGCTCTTTCAAGGCTGTAAAGAATTGTGTTGGGATTTTAATGGGGATTGCATTGAATCTGTGGAAAGCTTTTGGTAAGATTGCCAATTTTACTACATTGATCCTACCTATATAAGAGCATGGGAGATTGTTCCATTTTCAGAAATCTTTAATTGAGTCTTCAAATACTTAAAGTTCTTGTCATATGGGTTTTCACTCATTTACTTAGAGTTACCCCAAAACATTTTACATTATTTGTGGCTATTGTGAAGGGTGATGTTTCTCTGATTTCTTTCTCCACCTGTTTATCATCTGTATATGGGAGGACTACTAATTTTTTGTATCCTTCCACATTACAAAAGAGCCATATCATTTCTAAAACAGAAAAAATGAAGAAATAAAGGAAGGAAGGAAGAAAGGAAGGGAGGGAGAGAGGGAGGGAGGGAGGGAGGGAGGGAAACTACACTCATTGTGGTCATAGTAATCTTGGACAGCAGATGGAACTCTGAGTCTGTTTTTGGACAGCATTGCTCAACAAAGAACATGTATCTTTTGGGGTGAAGTTGATACAGCAGCTTTACTCTCTTGTTTTAAACTGCACTGTCACAGCTCCAGAGGCAGAGTGACTTGGGAGAATGGAGGTGATAAATGAGGCAGATTAAAGTCTCATGCAATAGTCAACTTTATTCAGAGAAGCATAGACAGTACACTCTGAGGGTAAAGAAAGGTCATGAATAAAAACCGTACAAATTCAAGCTGTATATCATCATAACGGCAAGCTGTGTGTGTGGCAAAAACACGCTTTTCCACAGAAGTACACAAAGGACAGTTTAAACATTACCTGGATAACAATAGCAAGTGGAAGTGGTCAACATGAAGTAGACCAACTCCTATCTACTACACCTGGGAAAAGGGTAAAAACACACTCCAAAAAATTATAGGATGCGATGATGAAATTAGAACAGTTTCCTAGCCTTCCATAGTAATGTATAAATGAAATTATAAAATCCATAGAGTTCTGTAGCTCTCTTTAAAACTGATAATTGCTTAAAGGTAATGTAAACGAGCAAGGATCAAATCCATATAATTGTTGATATTGGGTCCTCGCCTGGTTTACTAGCTGAGCAAGAAGAATAAGGAAAGCACTTAGTATTTTATGGCCTTTCTGCTGTAAATAAATCAACTCTAAAGATTTATCCATCGCTTTGTGCGACACTACCTGTAGGAGACAATTGAATGGTGAAAATACGTAAGTTTAAAGGTAGCAAGGGACCAGCACAATACACAAAATCCTCTTTTATTTTCGATTCAAATAGCTTTAATTCTTCCTTTGCCTCTCAAGATACATAAAGAATAATCCAATGTTGTCTCTCCTTTCTGAGTTTTAAATAGATTGTTTAGGACATAATCAGGTATTCCTAAAGTGGTATGTAGATAATTAATATTCCCTAATGATTTTCAAAAGCCATTGAGCTTTGTAAAATTGTATTATCTAATAGACATTTGTGAGGGGAAGGGGGAATTGGTGCTTAGTAGATGTTCTAGAAACTAGTTGCCCCAGAGATTACACAGAATCTGGTCATTGTAAATGTTCAGGGGTAATAGTAAGCCAATTTTTATGTAACACATGTCATATATGAATTGTAGCTCCTTCTCTTTGGGGGAGACTAACATGATATCATCCATACAATGAATTATATTGAATGAAAACAAGAAATGAAAAAGAAAAGAAAGGACGTGACTCGTCCTAGGCATGATAGAAAGTATATTATAGATATAAGAGAGAAGATAACCAGAGTCAGGGACAAAGAAATCTGAGAAAGTCCAGAATGGTCATGGCCAGACTGAGTTATGCCTTGTGAGGTTGGTAGAGAGGGGAAAGAAGAGATAAGAAAGGGGAACCAGGTGAAGCAGCCAGGAGGCCAAATATACAAAAAAAAGAATGGGTAACCAAAATGGTTGGATTATATTGAGAAGAACAGTCTCCCTTGGGCTGGAGAGTTCAAGACAGGGTGCAGGGTATGCCAGCCAGGAAGGCCCTGTAATAGGTATCAACTGAGGGATACAGGGAAAACCTGGTATCCAGGTCAGCATTGAAATGTTAAACAGGCACCTCAGACATTTGTCCTGCTTTCAATCCTAACACACATGAGCCATAGGGAAGGCCTCCCTCACAGGCTCTAAAACCTTTCCTGCATTGTACTGACACATGATAGGGGATTTTGTCATGCCTTGAGGTAACACAGCCCACTTGTACCAGAGCTGAGATTCTTTATGATTGAATCAAGGAACAGAAAAAGCAAAAAATTACCTTATGAAGTATCAAAGCAACGTTTCATAAACGCAAAGTTATTAAAGGCCAATCTTTTTTCCCTTCTACATTTTTTAATTTAAGTGAGTAACACTCTTGTTTTACCTGTCAATCCCAATATCCCTTCCCTCCCCTCCTCCCCTGCCCCCAAGGAATGACCTGTCCCATCTCCTTTCTGGTTCCTAGGGAGGGTGAAAGGGCCAGTCTTTAACAATAGCTGTCTGTGAAACAAGGC